GTGTGTGGTGCTTGCTTCCAGATCTTCCCAGGAGAAGTGACGTATGCACTTGTGCTGTCTGGATGAGCTGAGGCCGACTCGTGGAGCTGTGGGCTTTATGCTTCCTGGGCATTTGGATCCCTTCCCAGCTGCTATTAGGCAGGGCTGGTTGTAAGGACTGAGCTTAATGGAAACTTAGGAACCTCTGAAAAGGACTCAGCATAAAATGTTATACCCTATTTCATTGAACCTAAAAAACCATTGATTGTAACATATGCTGTTATTTTATTTACTAACAAAATAAAAAGATGGACAATTGAGGCATATTTCATTGAATGTGAGATGTTAAAACATGATCAAATTTGTAGATAAGTATTTGCTACTCTGAGTCTGTGACTTGATTATCAAAACTAGACTTGAAATCCTTCATTATCCCTCCAGTGTCAGCAGAATTGTAGATTATGTTGATAGTTCTAATTCAGTTTTAAAAAAGAATCTCTTGACACTATCTTAGGTTTCTGTTGCATTATCAAAATCGGCTGATCAATACTATGGACATTTAACTTTATCAATTTTGCTTCCATTAAATGAATTTTATAGCACCTCTTCAACATGCCGGCAGTCTGTAATAGAGAGGTGTTAGTCACCCTTAGGTTGGAAACACCTCCGAGTAAGTCCAGTCTTCAGGGAGGTCCTCCACCCCTCCCCTTTTCCTTTTTCCCTGTCCCCATTCTCTTTTTTCTTTACAGAGCTGTTAATCCATGAGCAACCTTTGAAGTTTATAAGTTCTTTAGAATTTTGTGGAAGGGAACAGATAATTCACCTCATTTGATAATTACATAATTTGAATTTCCCACATTTATTTTCAGAAGGGGGCCAGCGGTCCAGTTTGCAGGCCGTCCTGCCCTGTGGCAGCCTCCTAGAGCTGAGCAGCGCCATGGACGCTTCAGCAGCCACTCTGCGTTCCTGGACAGGTGAGTGGCAGAAGGAGGCTGTCATCTCGGGGGGGGGGGGATGATGTAGGCATGGGGTTATTAGTTATAAGGCGGTGTATGCCATGTTGCTATTTTGGGCTGTCTGAGAATAGGATTGTGTAGGAAGAATGTACAGCGCCGGGAGTTTGATGTGAGTCATGAGCCTGTCACCACCATGCTTATAAGACGAGTTTATGAAATGAAGCTTCTGAAAGTGACAACTGAGTTGAATTTTCCTTTTATTCAGGTGTTCAAAGTTATTTACTTTATAGTTGATAAAGACCCTCAAAAAGGAGAAAGAAGATTAAAGTGTATTCTCCTACAAGCCTCAGAGTTCTTTGAATTTCTTAGCTTCCGTTTGTGGGGAACTCCATTTGCTGTGGCAAGATTCTGTACTGTGACCCTCCCCACCAACATCCATAGAAGCTTTTAAACAAGTTATTCCTTGAAACTGGGGCCTAGGTACCTATGGATTCATACTGTGGAAGCAGGTATGGAGCAGTGGCTACTTGCCCAGTGTTGTGCAGAGCCCTGGCAGCTCACGGCTATTATAGAGACACCCTCCACATGGCGGAGTTGGGCCCACGTCGTCTACACCATATGTGAAGCTGTGATTCTGACAGATTTCAATTTCTGGGCTATTAATGCTAGATTGCAGCTGGCTCAGCAACAAATACATATTTTTATGAACATATTTCAGTGTATTTTCAAAAAAGAAATTAAAAGCCAAAAATATATTGGGAACATTAGATTATGCTTAAGAGTCTGCACTCTGGGACTAGAGTCTGGCAGGAGAGAGCGCAGCACATGTTCTCCCCGTCTCTGTCCATCACCTGAGGCCTCTGCGGCAGGTGCTGAGCTGGAGCTGCAGCACCATCGGGGGCCCCTCGTGTGTGTTTTCACGAAGCTGAGATCTAGGGAGAGACAGATTGGAGATAAAGCAAACATAGTAAACCAGGATATGGGCTTACAAAGCAAACAAATCGATTCCATAATCCAAAATTATGAGGGGGCTGGCAAGGAAAGTCTTCCCTAAGGAGGTGAGGTTTGGATGTGAACTGGATGTTCCTCAGAGGGATGAGCTGAGAAGAGCATGGCAGGAGGGGGGACAGAGGAGCATGGGTGGGGCCCACAGGGCGGCTGCCAGGGTTCTATTCACAGTGTGACATCATGTCATTTGGTTTCTAAAATTCTCTTTTTCCTTATTCACATGTTATTTTCTCTGGAAGTGGTGGTGGGGGATGGAGAGACACAGGCAAATGTGGGATATCATTGGAGGCCCAAGTGACATGACTTCTTTGAACATTGGATGGAGGTGTGGGGGAACAGACGTGGGGTAGGTACCTCAAACTGCTGCTGAACAGATGTGCAGTGGAGGTGCTGCTGGTCGGGGTGGAGATGGGGGGTCGGGCAGGGGGACCATGGTGATGACTCTGGACTTGTCACAGCCAAGTTGCTGGGACATGTGCAGGGGAGGGTGCCAGAAAGGCAGTGACTGTGGTCGTCTGGTTCCCGCTGAGACTGGGCATGGCTGGCAGCCTTGTAGGTGTGAGGCCAGGAAGAGTAGAGGTGCCTGGGGGAGCAGTCCCAGAGGACCTGGGATGTGGAGAGCTGCTAAGCAGCCAGGGAAGACCTCTGACACCAAGAAATCAAGGCAGGGGGCTCTGCGTGAGCCAGAAGAGGAGAGGACTGCGGGACGCGGTGGGGGTTTCTGTGCTACCTGGAGTACTGGGCAGAGGGTGGGGGGTGTGTGTGGAAAGGAATGGGCTGGATACTTCTATTCATATGTTAGTGTTGTATTTCACACTGAAATGTAAAACAAGAAAAAGAAAGGAGGCATGGAAGTGGAGGCAGAAGGTGAAGACATTTTCTTGTTCTTTCAGAGAAGCATGGCAGGGAGAGCAGTATAGAGATTGTGTGGTAGCTGGAGAGAGAGATGGGGATAGGGAGAATCAAAGGAAGAGTATAATTTCAAGATGCGGGATTTGGGGGAGTGTTTTCTGAGGCAGGAGCAGAAATGGAAGGTGACATCCTTGAGATCCCGTGTGGGTACCTGGATCACGGCTGCTTTGTGGGAGGACAGGATGTTCTCCACTGGAAACCGGTAGGGAGGAAATTAAAATGCCAGAGTATTGCAGTAGATCCACAGTATGGAAAAGGGCCAAGGACACGCTCCTATGTGAAGTGAGAAGGGACGGGGAGCCGGTTGGCCTGTTGGTCTGAACCAGTTTCCTTTCTCTGACGTTGTGGACGTCTTTCTTGTTCCGTCTCTTGCCTTCTTCCTTCCCTTTCTTCCCTTTCAAGCCTCAGTCCCCTGTCCCTACCCCATACAATATAAAGTAATTGAAATCCAACAGTAAGTAACTCAAGAATGGTACAAACACCGAGTGTGCCAGCTTTGAGCAAACCCTATAAACCAGCAGTTCTCAACCTGTGCATCATGACCCACAGGAACTGTATTAAAGGGCCGTGGCATTAGAAAGGTTGAGAACCATTCTATAAACAGTAGATAATTGAGGACATCTTTGATTTCTATTCTTTTAACTCTAGAGCAGTGGTTCTCTCTTAACTGTATTAAAGGGCTGCGGCCTTAGGAAAGCTGAGAATCACTGCTCTAAAGTGAGGGTTTCTCCTTTTGCTAGAAGCACACAGATAAGATCCTCTTTTTATTATGTTAGTCTGGTGGACAGAAAGGTAAAAACTTGTCAAATACCTGTTTCGATTGGAATTTTTTTCTAGTTAAATAATTGTTACAGTTTCTGGTTACTTTTCTAAAGTGTTGTCTTTAAGTTTTATTTTTTAAATTATGCTGATGTCAAAAATAATAGCTGTGAACTTTTATGAAATATAATAGTTAAAGCAAAATGTAAAACTATATGCAGTGGGTGATCCAGACATTCCCATAAACATGTTGTCTTGCAGCTTTGCTGTCTCTGCCATTACAGACCTTTTCTCATTCAAAGGGTCTAATTTATTGACTCTGAATGCAAGGGATTTCATTTAGGAGATTCAGCTTGATGCTTAAGTAAAGCTTTTTGTTCACTTTAAACTCTCAGCAATCTCTGGCTAAATACCTGGGAAGCTTTGAGTGGTGGAAGCACTTAGCAGCACACATCCCACGTGTGTTTGGCATTAACTGCCTTTTTTCTGAGGATATACTTTATTCTTTCTCAAATTATCAGAATTTTAGGATGGATTACTTCTCTATGAAACATTTGGTAACCTGATTTTCATTTCATAAATGAAAATATTTAAAAATCATTAAAATCACAAGTAGAGAGTATGGGCAAGCCATTTGAGTTGGCCCGGAGGTCCTCCCACCATCCTTATCTCTAGACCCTGTGCTCCGGCCCTCAGTGCCACCTGTTCTGCTCTCTCTTCAAAGGTTCATAGGGGTCCCTCAAGGCCCATTCCTGACCTGACACTAGTCACGCTTTTTAGGCCCTTCCATTGTGTTTTGTAGACTTCTAAGATCATGGAAATAGGTGGAATATTGAGAATACATCTCTATGTCAAATTTAGGCATATAAATGAAAATGATCTTTAGAAAATTTGATGGGGCTTGGTGTCTCCTTGAGGCCCCAAAGGCTGTGATCAGAGGGTCGAGGGTATTCTGGACCAGGGTGTGTAGGAGTGATGTTGGCTGATGTTTCTTACACTCTTATTTTTTGGGGGAAGGAGACTGTGTTTTTCTTGTTAATATCTAAGAATAGGTTCTCTGCCTCCTCGCCTGCCTTTGATCTCACCAAAGAAAAGTACCTACCTTGACGAGGAGGGCAGTGAAATCCTGCCTGCTGATTCACAGCTTGTGAATGTGATTAACATGCTGAGGAAATTAGCTCCTTGTGCCCTTGGGGTCTCTTTGTTGGTTTATGTCACAAGAATTCTAATAACTAGAAAATTTCAATCAAGAGAATAATTGAAGATGACTCTTGTACAGGACAGGTCTGTTTGTGACCTCCTATTTAGAGATGATCAGCCAGTTTCCTGGGTAATTTGTTGATCAAACACTGGTCCAGTTTTCTGATTCCCCACCCTTTCTCTCAGAATGCCTTCAGAAATTTTGCTGAAGATATTTTCCTACTTGGATGCTGTGAGCCTGCTGTGTACCGGATGTGTGAACAGACGCCTTTATCATCTGGCCAATGACAAGTAAGGACAAAACCAAATTTCTCTGTTATGGTTTGATGACAGTTTGAAGGGAGTCATGAAAATAGTAAGAGCTTTTAAACCATTTTCTAAACTTTAAGAGGGTATTTTTAAATACATAGAAACACATCTAATGGTTTAAAAATCACTAATATGATATTTTCAAACATTTGCATTTGTCTTCTTAAAGGAATTTTCTTTGTATGTACCAAAAACACCACATTTGTTGCTGTAGCTGCTGGCGAATATGGCTTTACCTGTGCACTGGCAGGTGGGCTTGGCAGTCTTACCACACCGTGTCAGGCAGCACCATGGGACCTGCCCTGTCCCCTCTGGTCTTGGATTTTCAGGACAGAGGGAGAGGTCTCCCTGTAGGCAGTCAGGGAGCTCCAGGGAAAGAAGAGGAAGGGGCCACTTAATTCTTTCTCCCAAACTTGCTAATTAAGGGGAGAGAGTGAGAGGGGAAGAGAGAGGCTAGAGGGTCCTTAAACTTTTTAAACAGGGGGCCAGTTCACTGTCCCTCAGACTGTTGGAGGGCCGGACTGCGTGCCCTGGGACGAGTCGGCTGCTGAACAGGACAGGCAGCCACGGCAAAAATACCTGGGCCCGCGGGCTGCAGTTTGAGGACACCTGGGGAGGGTGGCCAGAAGAGAAGGGCTGCCTCCCTTTACTTGGGCTCACAGGATATCTATGCAATAAGGAGGAGAAACTCTTGCTTCTGTTTTGTCACTGAGAATTAGCTTGCAAATCAGAATTGTGTACTGGAGTGGTAGTGGAATCCTAACCTGTGGTGAGAAAGTCATGGCCCACAAGTGAACATCACGGGATTTGGGGGCCTCTCTCTTGCAGCATCAAAAGGTCAGACAACTATTGATCCTACGTGGAATCCACATCTCAACTAGGGGAGACATCAAGATAAGAGGGAATGCAGGTTTTAACTGAAAGTTGTGTTTACTAGATAAGGGAATGGAGGCTGACAGAAGGAGGTCTGTCATATTATCCCATCTGGGACCGTGGTAGGTAGGAAACAACATCTGCTACAGTGGCTCTCAGATGCCTGTCCACAGAAGACTTTACTGGAACAAGTTGGGAAAGGTGAAAAAGTTTGCATCCCTGTTCTGCATTTCTGGAGAGTTACTCAGTGCTCTGGAATCTGTATTTAAAAATTTTTTCCAGGTCCTACTAATGAATAGTCAAGTTCCGAAATGACCAGGATAGTGCTTCTTTGATGGTGGGTGTTTTCAGATCTCATTAAGATTGCTATTCTCCACCATTCTCATACTTAGAAAGGGACACACACCAGTACTTGGCTAGGAAGGGCGGGTCTTCTTTTCTTTCAGTTTGAAAAGACATTTCCTATATGGAAGAACATATGTCTCTGTGTGTGTGTGTGTCCTTATATATGCATATATATAGATACACACATCGATGAATGAAATGATGAATCATTTCTTGAGGTAGTTGTAGAATGAGTGTAGAGTAATCGTTACGTGCCTCTTTGTTAATGACCTAATAAGATGTGAAGGTGTTGCTACGGCAAAGTACAGTGAGGCGTGCTTCCAGGAGGGAGTCAACTATCTGTCTGAAGCTGCAGTGTTCTCACTTTATTTAAGGATAGAACTCAGAATCTTTAGATAAGCTGATAAATTGTACATTTTCTAGTTTCTGTACATTTCACCTCCCTTTACTGTATCATGATAGGCCCAGATGATCCAGGAATTGGGCCTTGGTAGTTCTTGCATTATTCTTTGCATACTTTTATTACAAACTATGTGCCCATACCACTTTCTTAGAAGTTGTTCTTTATAAACCTGAGCTTCTGATGAAATTGCACCCATAATTCTTTTCTTTTTCAGGAGGTAAGTCTTAATTATGCTAAGTTGAGATAAAGTTTTTAACAGACTTCTACATAAAAGGATCTGTGGGTAACCAATAGTGTTTTTGAGAAGTTAACAGCTATTTCTAACCAGTGCTTCTGAGGAGCAAACAGGGGCACATGTGATAACTGATTATGCTGATGACTCACGGGCAGACACACTTGCAGGGTCTGTTCCATCCCTGGGGCTCCTCCCTCCTCGGGAGCACAGTCCCTGCCTGGGAACCATGGAAATGTGTGTGGGAGGCCATACCTGGATCATCACACGGGGGTTTTATTTGCCAGGTACTCTGGGAAGCTATCCGAAAGTTAAATTAGCCCCATTTCCTGAATAACTTGTTTGATGGAACTGTTTCTGGGCCATATTGATGATCAGTCATGTTAAGCAGAGATGCTCTCGTCTGCAAATCTGCCTAAGCTTTCTAACATGATGGAGCTTCTGGGAATTAAGAAATAACAGGTGTCTGAGTTTCAGGGACTTAAACTTAACGTGTATTTTATAAAGGAGGGGAACAATCTAATACAATATTTTAAGTCTGAAATATAAAATATTTTATTCAGATGCATTTATGGTAAATTAAGACAATGCGTGTGAATGTAGCTCATCATGTAAACATGGGTGTGGTTATTGTTAGTGACACGTGTGTGGTATAAAGTAGCATCAGCAGTCGTTTACACAGTGCTGAGGTGAGAAATTTGAGGTTTCATTGAGGTCTTGCTAAAGCAAAGGAACACTTAGTGGAGTGATAGGACTAAACTTGAGCGTGAGGCAAGCTTTTATGCAGAGGGAGTTTTTCAAAGAGTCTGTGCAGGGGGATTTGGGTGAATCAGTTTCAGGTTTATCTAGATGTACTGAACTCATGATCACTTTGCATCTATTAGCTCATGTGTGAAAGTACAGAAGTTTCTGATCTGAAGACATAAATACTTCAACATAAAAGCTTGATGGGAAATGATTTTGCGGGTGAGAAATTACTTTAGAAAGAGCTGGCAGTAGAGTCTGATGTGTGAGTGTGTGTTTGGTGGTGAGTTAGGGAGGTGTGTTCTGCAGTCACCTGCTGGAGAATGGTCTGCTGCGGTTGACGACCGAGGTCCCCACCAGACCTCCTGCAGTTCAGTGTCACCTCTTTGCCTCTGACTGTTTTATCCTGTGCTGCTCTAAATAGACATGTGGAGGCACAAACTAGCAAATAGTTATATTTGTGTTGTTTATTTATTTTAGCCCCTGCTTCTGTTTTCCCTGATGAAATACTGCTTTTCTTCCCTGATGGAGAGTTTTGGTTCCTTCCAGGTCTCTGCTAACGCCCACTGTTGCCCAGGTGGCTTCTCGATGGGGCTTTTGGTACCAGTGAGTGGAAGGAATGCAGACTGTCAGAGCTGAGCTTGAATTTCAGCATAAGGCTTATTGACCATCTGAGTTTGGATAGCTTATTTATTTTCTTTGGCTTCATTTCTGTGTTGCTTAAAGACAGTGAAGCACCAGGGGTTAAGAGTGTGACCTCTGGTTGAGCCTGCATAGGTTCGAATCCCAGCTCCACCTCATGCTTGAGTGCACAGACCTGGGCCAGACGCCTTTGCACCTGGGCCTCAGTTGCATCATCTGTACAATGGGGACAGCGAGGGTAGCTATGGAATGGATTTGTTGTGAACATTAAATGAGTTAATGTATATGAAGTGCTTAAGCAACTCTGGACTTTCTAAGTGCTTGAAGACCTTATGTTAACTGTCAGCATTAGTTGTCATTATGAATAACCTCCACTTTTTTCTCTTTATGAAAGCAATGCATGCTCCTGTTGACAAATTAAAAAAATTTTCAACAAAGCAAAAGCACAATTCACTTTTTCACTGTTAATATTTTTGTGTGTGTATGCCTGTTGTGAGCTTTTAAAAAACATGCATATGTTTAAAAGAACAAGATAAGAACCACACTGTGTATATGTCACATTATTTCTTTCTTTTTTTTTTTTAGAGACAGAGTCTTACTTTGTCGCCCTTGGTAGAGTGTTGTGGTGTCACAGCTCACACCAACCTCCAGCTCAGCCTTCTTGCCTCAGCCTCCCAAGTAGCTGGGACCATAGGTGCCTGCCACAATACCCAGCTATTTTTTTTTTTTTTTTGGTTGTAGTTTGGCCAGGCTGGGTTTGAACCCGCCACCCTCTGTATGTGGGGCCAGCGCCCTACTCACCGAGCCACAGGCGCAGCCCTCCATTGTTTCTTTATAATAGGCCTCCTGGTCAGTTGGCAATGAGGGAAGGCTGTTGTTTGGATGATTCTGAATAACGCAGGGTCATTCACTTTAAACTTGGGAAACAGGCTCTTCCTATGTTTGCATTTTTGGTGTTTTTCGAGTCTACAACACTAAATCTCAAGCTGCTTTAAATGTTCAGCTTGACTTGTTCATGGATTTGGACTATCTAAAAATTATTATGGGTCTCTAACTTAACATATTACTACTACAGGTATGTGACAGTGTCTCTTAGTTAATATCTCTTTCTCCCCCTCCACCACCAGTTTTATTTGGATCAGAATCTACTCAGCTTCATTTCCACCTAAAAGGTCTAATTGGAAATTTAACTCCATAGAGGAAACAGCGGTGTCTCTGAGTGCACTGTCAGTTGAGGATAAAGAAGCTGGATATTGGAAGACGGAATATATTGCAAGACAAATGGCGTCTGTAAAAGCCACACTAGCTCAGGTTCTCAAACCTGTCAACCCTTACACAGGCCTTCCTGTGAAGACCAGAGAGGCCCTCAGGTATGCAGTGTGTTCTTGAGGAGTGGCCGCAGGTGACCTGACAGCACTGTAAAAGGTTTCCATGAAAACCAGAAAGAGTGCTAATGTCATCTCAGAGTACTGTGTGCTCAGGACAATTTAGACTGTGGAGGACTGTCTCTGATATTTTTGTGTTTTTGTGTGTCTATAAGGTATTTCCTATTCCATATATGGTTAACCTTCTACATCCATAGATTCAACCAACTGCAGACTGAAAATATTTTTAAGAAATCAAGTTGGCTCGGCGCCTATGGCTCAACCAGCTAAGGTGCCAGCCACATACACCTGAGCTGGCGGGTTCGAATCCAGCCCGGACCCATCAAATAACAATGACAGCTGCAACCAAAAAACAGCTGGGTGTTGTGGCGGGCGCCTGTAGTCCCAGCTACTTGGGAGGTGGAGGTAGGAGAATCGCTTGAGCCCAGGAGTTGGAGGTTGCTGTGAGCTGTGATGCCACGGTTCTCTACCCAAGGTGACAGCTTGAGGCTCTGTCTCAAAAAAAAAAAAAAAAAAATAGAAATCAAGCAATAACAAATAACTATACAACAATAAAAATAATACTAATAAAAACCCAATACAGTATGACAGTTATTTATATGCATTTTCATTGTATTGGGTATATGCATTATAAATAATTTAGAGATGATTTAAAGTATAAGAGAGAATTACTTAGGTTATGTGTAAATACCACCCCATTTTGTATCAGGAACTTGAGCGTATATAGTTTTGGTGGTATGGTGGTCCTGGAACCAGTCTTCTGAGGGTTCTCAGGGGTAGCTGGTATGTAGCCTAAACTTAGTTTGTATGAAAGGCAGAAAAAACCCTAGTGATCTGCTCTAGTAAAACAAGAATGTTCAACGTGCCCTTTCTTCTGGGCAGAACCTTTGTCGTATTGACGTATTGCCAGTATCTGGCAGCATATACATCCCTGAGTGAGCTGAGGAGGAAAAGTCACTGTAAAGAGAGAACTATTGACGGGATGAAGATTACACCAGGTGTGTCTTGAGAACTTTAGCTTTTAAGGAGGTAGATGCTTTAGAGACGTACAAAATTGCCTTCAGCATTTTTTTTTGCAATGAGGTGAACGTTTTATCTTTCTTTTCTTTTGCCAGAAAATCTGGTTTAGGTTGGGCAATTATATTGAAAGAGAAAAATGGAAAAGAGTATGTCATGAAGCATGCTGATCTTTCCATAAATGACACCTCAGTGACCGTGGTGTGGTATGGCAAAAGTTGGCCCTGTCTAGCGTCATTGTCAACCTTAGAGTTGTATGGTCTGACACCAGTTTTTATGGACTGGTGTAAACCCCCCACCAGAGATAGGTAAGTACTAATTCAGTGGAACTATTAGGTAACAATGTCTTGTGTGTAAATATTCATTGGCATTACTTTTTTTTTTTTTTTTTTGCAGTTTTTGGATGGGGTCGGGTTTGAACCCACCACCTCTGGTGTATGGGGCCAGTGCTCTACTCCTTGAGCCACAGGTGTCACCCCATTGGCATTACTTTTGTAGTTCAGAAATACTACCATTGTGTTTTAATTTGATTATTTCTTAAAGACTTGCCTGTCACTCTGTATCCCTGTAGCCTGGGAAAAGACCAGGTTTACTGTGCTTCTGGTTAGGTCTAAATTTAGGACCCTTATATTTTGGTTATCTATAATGGTAGAGAATGATATTCTAGTTGATAAAATTTCATAAACCATAGATGGCTAAACTTTTCTTCCTTTGAGCCACAGGCTTTTTTTTTTTTTTAACAGGTTGATGATTTTTTTTTTTTTTCAAGTTTTTGGCCAGGGCTTTGAACCCACCACCTCTGGCATATGGGGCCCCTTTGAGCCACAGGCACTGCCCTAATATATTTTCTTCCTTTGGTAAATGATACATTAATTGTGGTCTACATATGAGGTCATAAATTCGTAATTATTAGTTACTTTGTTTTTCTGTTAAACTTACTACCGTGTTTCCCCGAAAATAAGACACTATCTTATATTTATTTTTTCTCAAGAAGACACACTAGAGCTTATTTTCAGGGGATGTTGTCTTATTTTCTGCGCTGACATGTGTGGCGTGGCTATGCAGCGTATCTGCTAGTGTATCAACGCCCATCACTAGGTCTTATTATCAGGGTAGGGCTTATATTTAACAAATGCATAGAAATCCTGCTAGGGCTTATTTTTTGGGTAGGTCTTATTTTCAGGGAAACATGGTAGTATGTGGGGCTAGTCTCAGTGGCTCACACCTGTAATCCTAGCAAGGCCAAGTTGGGTGGATTGCCTGAACTCAGGAATTAGAGACCAACCTGAGCCAGAGCAAGACCCTATCTCTAAAAATGGCTGGGTGTTGTGGTGGGTGCCTGTAGTCCCAGTTAGTAGAGAGGCAAGAGGATCTTTTTACCCCAAGAGTTTGAGGTTGCTGTAAGGCCATGGCACTCTACTGAGGGCAACAAAGTGAGATTTTGTCTCAAAAACAAACAAACCAAACAAACAAAAAAACTTACCAGTATGTGACCTTATGCAAGTAACTTACTCTTTCTGTACCTCCAGTCTCATCTGTAAGATGGGATGATGCTGGTGCTGACACGGTGGTTGGCATGCATGGCTGCAAGGATGTGTGGCCCCAGCTCCGTAAACAGTTTAGTCTGAGGCTGTGCTGTGTTTACTGACCATGGATCCCCCTTCCTTACAATTACCTTAATTATATCTGGGTTCCTAGGCCTGACAGCTGTCCCTCTAGTGTAGAGCTTGTAAGATCCTGCACTATGATTGGAAGTCTTACCATGTTGTCTCTTCTTAGACATCGCCCATTTACTCCTAGGCACTAAGAGGTCACAGTGTGTCTCCTTAGGAAAACACTCATGTTTTTAGTTTAAATTATTTTCTGATGTTTCGGTTTTCACTATCTGAGTTACCCTTGATAATAACTTTAAAAAGCACCCCTGCTTTCAGACAGTCTACCGATCCCACCTGCTTTTATGCCACTCAGAACCTTTGCTCACGTGCTTAGGAAGAGACCGCAGTGTTATGTGTGGGGTATGGAGGGAAAGGACGGACGATAGTTCTGCAACTTCATCCCCTTCCTCTCCTTCAGCTTCCTTCTGGCTGGGCTGTGGAGCTGATGACAGTGAGAGTGAGGGGGAGGGAAAGGAAAGCACAGTTGGGTGAGAAATATGGGAGTATCCGTTTTGGCTGTATTTGTACCAGGCCCTTGTGTTCCCTCCCCACGACCTGCCACTTAGTGGAGCACGTGGTTAATGTGCTCTCCAAACATGTTTTTAGATTGCTAAAGAGAACTGGCGATGCACAGAAAAGTTCATTTTTCTATCCCCTCTCTTTAGCACGGATGCTCACAGACCTCGATGGCACTCCCTGATTACAAAGTACCACCTGAGCCATTTAACTGAATCCAACCTGATTGGCTGCGACAGACTTGTCCGGGTCTTCTGCCTACACCCCGGCCTTCTGGTGGGGCTGTGGAAGGTGAGCGGCAGGTCCCTGGGGGCTCCCTGTGAGCTGTCACGTCCCCATCATGGCTGGCAGGGTGTCAGATGGAAAGTCCTCTAGGTGTGGCAGTAGCCGCATCCTGGTTCACCATCCTACCATCTTTGCTTTCTATCTGACTCCAGCGAGCTCCTCTGTCCTGCTGAGGCTGCTCTGGGGTTCTGCCCCACAGACGACTGAGTGCCCCTTCCTGCCTTCGTGCTTTTGTTCACAGTGTTCCTTTCATGTTAGGGCACTGTCCCCCTTTCTCATGCCAGTCAGTGCTGGTCCTTATCCTGTTCCTTTCACATTCTTTCTCTGACAAAGCCCCTGTTGCTGTGTGTGCAACACGCTGGTCTCCTGAGCACGTTTCTGGTCCTGCAGATGTGGTGTTGAGGATAATCTGCCCTTTGGGGTAAAGAGGCTAGAAGTTATCCCACCCTCTGTGTAGGGTCCCTTGTCTCAGCAGATCAGGCTGGTGGCCTGGCCAGCTCCCTCCTCTGGGGATGTTTTTGGGGCAGTCATTTCCGTGAAGAGCAGAACAGTATGGTGTCCCTTTGTATACTGTGCCCACAGGTTCACGTCTGTGGCTTGGCCTGGGAATGTTTTAAGGCAGCAGTTCCCAGATTGGACTCTGAGAATGGCAGTCTGCACTGCAGACAGTGCCTGGGCAGAACCAGGGGTTCCCAGATTGGACTCTGAGAATGGCAGTCTGCACCACAGTCAGCACCTGGGCAGAATCACTTTTGCAGCTGCATCCAGCACTGTCCTCTTGTACCTTTTCCTCCCCAAGTCTGTGGTGGCAGTCTGTTTTCTCCCCTCCTTCCCTGTCTGCATGAAGGTAACTTGCTATGCACTTGACTACTTGAGTTCCTTGGTCTGCGCTGGCCTGAAGCGTTATGAGAACTCTGGTTGATCTAAATGTCCCCTGCCTGGTGACTGGGTGGAGAATGGCACTTTCTGGTTTGCCACTCAGGGCCGCCTTATACCAGGCAGTGTCAGCTGTGGATCTGGCAAGAACTGGGTGTCAGCCCCTGAATAGTTACAGTTTCTGCTGCTCCAGCTGATGGACAGGTGAAGAAGCTGAATCTAATTATTACCCCCTGCATTTACCACATAAAGTGGTTACTGGATAGAAGAACGGTAAGGTTTAGTATTTGTGGAATTAGTCTGGGATCTGTGAAGGTCTGACCAGTATTGTCTTTATTTTTGAAAGGAGTTTGAAATAGCTGGGGACTAAAAATGTATATTTTTGCAATCATGTGTGTAATACAGTGTTTTGATATTTTGCAAATACCAGGACATTAATTCTTCTGGTGCTGCCTTCTCTGCGCATTTCGGTGAGTCGTGTCAGTGTGAAGTGCAAGCCTTATCAGTGATAATGCACGAGCCCTGTGGTGACCTCACAGTTGTGAGAAACTGCATCTGTCTGCAAGATGAGTGTGCTGCGGTCTTCACAACTATCTCGTGGAGAATTAAAATATTTCACTTGAAAAATGTATTCTTTTTCATTAACTTTTCAGAAGGAGGAAGAGCTGGCTTTTGTTATGGCAAATCTTCATTTCCATCACCTTGTGGAGAGGAGCACATTAGGCTCGGCTTCTGTGTATGTATTTGTGGGTGTTTTACATTTTTGTACAGTCAATATAAAGGATTAGGAGTTGATGCCATCTTAATATCCCGAGAATAGCTGCAGAGGCATTCTGTTTTTAATCAGTAGACACAAGCCAACAGGTATAATTACTTAGCTGCTGCTAAAGTAATTGGATTATTCATGAGTATATATTTGCTTTATTTATCTGGGTTAAGGGCCTTCTACCTAGTAGAATATTGTTTATAGGGCAGGATAGCTCTGTTTCTGTGAGATGCCACTGCTGTCTCTGTGGTGCACTTGTGGGAGTTTTCATGTCTTGGAAGGCATGCTGACTCCTGGCCCTCTGGCTGGTCTGGCATATGGATGAGTTTTGTGTGGTCTGGACACTGTGTGTGTCCTATGAATTTGAATGTCTTTAGGTGCGAGCATGCTTCCTGTTCCACCCCAGCTCTCACCCTCACCTGGTTACTTAGATGCTCCCTTACTCATTTTTTTTCATTACTTGAAAAGCTCCTAAATGCTTTTGAGTTTGTCACCTTACTAGTAAGGGTTTTTCCTATTGAATAAAGCTTTCTTCATCTTGGCTATGGGTCCTCTTCCCAGGTTGCTAACCTGCAGATCTGTTGGGGTGTGTTTCCCTCCTGAGCCCGTCTGTCCTCTGGGTATGGAGAACGCTGCGACCCAGAGCTGCCTTTGCAGAGCTGCGGTCCTGGGCTCTGTGCCCCGTGGTAGTCTGTGGCTGCCCATGGACTCGTATCTTTGCCTGTTTTTATAAAGGAATGTGGAACAGTCCCCTTGAGATCAAGTATTAACGATTATTGGGAATCTCTGTCTCGTTTGTAGGAGGTAGTACTTTGAGGGGATGTTAATCTCTTAAAAGTATTTTACACCACGTATCTTTAGCTCTGGTGCTGACAAATCCGTGTGTGCTGTTTGCTTTCCAGCCCCTTCGAGCCGCCTGCTCACAGCCCCTACCTGGACGACAGCCCTGAGTGTGGCCTGCACGGCTACCAGCTCCACGTCGACTTGCACAGCGGAGGGGTTTTCTTCCTCTGTGGCACATTCCACAACCTCTTCATCAAGAAAGGTGAAATTAATTGAACTTTTATTTCATTATGAAATAGAAAGGTTGGGATCAGGGAATGGATATTCATGTCTGAGTTAAGGACTGTCCTCCTAACTGTCCTCACTTTATAATCTGTTGGCAGGTCTGTCCTCCCAGGCCCCTGTTTCCTTCTAGGACTTGTGCAATTCCTCAGCTGGCGTGTGTGTCTCCAGCGCTGGCCTGGCTGCCCCGTCACTCTCTAGCTTCCCAGTGCAGACTCTGCCTGTTTCCTCTGCCCGTACTGCCTTCCTGGTTCTCCAGGCATCCTCTTCCCTCCACGCTTCTTCCCTTTTCTTTCAAAGCAATTTGGTAAATTTTCCAACAGGGCCAGTGGAGCCCCTGTCCAGGATGAGAATAAAGGGGAACCAGCCTTTCCCCTGTCTGTGCCATATCCATGTTTGTCACGTAACTAAGCAGAGGGGACTTCAGCCAAGGGACAAAAAGAAGGCATGTTGAATGCCCCTACTCGGATTTGTCTGATTGTTTCTGTTCTTGGTATCATTCTTCTGTATCCTGTAAACTTGGAGTTTTGGGTGAAGACTTGCACAGATTCAAGTGTAACATTTTTGGTAGGAATATTTTATAGGGAAATTAGGTCCTTTGTTTTGCATTGTACTAAGAGGCTTCAGGTCCGGCTGTGTCACCAGTAGGGCCAGATCCTCACTGGGTTCAGATGGTGTCTGCTAGATCTCTTCTTTACAAAGGTTTTCTTTTCCAAATACCCTGTTCCTCAGAAGTCTTTCACCTAATGGGTTTGACATCCATTAATGATCTTTGCCTAAATAAAAAATTTTTGTTTGAATTTAGAAAATGATTTTCTAATTGTCATTATTTTTATATTTATTAGCTAAGCTTCTGTAAAGAACTTTTTCTTATCTCCTGGGTGAACTCCATAAAGGCATAGGAAATGTTTAGTTCTTTCCCATTTAACTGCCAATTCTCAAATTAGTACATTAATGTAATAGTCATCTCCTGTGTTGGAAATATTTTGAGCTCTCCTTTTCTCTCCTCTCTTTCTCCTTTTTTCCCCTCCTCCTTTTTTGCTGAGTGTCACTTTGGACTCCTGGATATGTATTTATTCAGCCATTTACAATAAAGTGATAGACATTCTTTCCGAAGCTACTGCCAGTGCTCCCTTTGGTCTGTGGTCGACTGCAGCCTGTTCTGTGCCCTGCAGGTCCACCCCAGAGGCTTCCTCTTCGCTTTTTGGCTCAGGAAGATTTCTAGGTTTTCATGTGCTTTTCTCATTCTTTTATTAGAATTATGTCACATGTACATATTAATCTCAGGTGAATCAGCATCTCTGTCGTTGAATTGTCCCATCCGAGAATGTGAAATGTCTTTCACCTTGTTCAAAGTACTTTCTTCGTTTAGGGTGTTTCAGAATTTCCTTTGTGCTGGTTTTGCACATTTCTTACTAAGATGTTTATTAGGTGTTTAATCTTTGTTCCTTGTCTTCCATTATATCTTCCTGTTGTTTTATAATATCTTTTTGTGGTTTCGGTCTCAAGCCACTGCTGATCTCACAGAATGATTTGGAGAGTACAAGGTCAGACAATTAAGTTTGTGAACTCATCCTAGAAAAAGTGCTACACCCCTTATTGCTGAATTACACTGTCGTCCCCTCCCAAGTGCTGTCCTTGGGAAGCTGTGCACACACGCCAGCGCCTAATCCACCCTTCAAAGCAATTTCAGAACTCTTTTTCTGAATTATGCCAATTGTGTATATGAATCTTAGGTGAAGCTGCCTGGCTTGAATTTCCTCCATAGCACCACCACACTGTTCAATCTTACTTATTTATTATATTTAAGGAAAGTAAGCTCTGCAAGGCAGTATCTTTGCCTGTTTTGTTCAAGACTGTCTCTGAGAATGAGCAAAGCAGCACCTGGCACATAGTAGGCATGCACTTCAGCATTACAGAAAGAATGGACAGTGCGCTGCCTCCCCCAAGGGCACACAGTCAGGAGACTCTTAGCTAAACGTTCCATCTCCTTAAAGCTCTCCCATGTCCTTAGCTGGAGGATTCTCAGCTGCATCAGTCCGGACTTTTCTGGTCAAAGCTTTCACTGTTCTCTGTCGCCTCTGGAGGAGAAGGCGCAGCTTGGATGCTGCAGGGCAGAGCTGCAGGGTCATCAGTCTCCTTGCTGGATGAAGCTAGTGGCTGGGCCTCTCGGGGAGGAGAGTGACAGTTTGCTCTCATCTTGCCTTTCAGCGCCTGGGGAGGCTTCAAGGGCTGCTCAGGCCTGGGTCTCAGGCTGCCTCCTAGACTCAGAGTGGCCTCAGCAGCCCCTCCCCACTGCTGCCTCATTTCCTTTGCTCACAGCTCAGAAGAGGGGTATCAGAGCCCCCCTTCTACAGTTATGCAGTGTGTACCCCTCGCTCTGCAAAGGGAAAGCTTCACAACTTTGCCCTCTGGCGGAGTAGGTTTTTCTGTGCCTGTGATGGGTACTTTGCTATGTAACTGAAAGTTTCTTGAAATCTGAATATAGATACTAAGTGTTTATTTCATGCTTTCATTACAAGGTAGAACTCAGGAACTTCTTATCTGACATCGTTTATAAAAGATAGTTTTCACAGGTTACCAACTAATCTGTAAAAATTGTATACATTTTATATATTTAAAATGTAAAAAAAATTATTTTGAAATTCACATTGCACAAATACAGATAATTCCTGTATAGCCTTTATGTAGAATACACCAATTTATAACATTTTTGCCATGTTTGTGGTGTCACTTTCTCTTTCTACTTTTGTAACATTTCTACACATGCAGGTGGGATCAGTCTGGTTTCTGTTTCTGAGGGTTGGGTGCTAGGTCTGTCTGAAGACTATTTAGAACTGCAAAGAAAATGGCCTGCTTTTCCTTGTTGTAAACAAACACAGCCGAACCTTGATTAAGCTTTATATTGCATCCTTCATACCTAAAATATGCTGTTAACAATGATGAATAGCAATAAAGAATATTTATGAGTGTCATTATGAGTTCTTGTTAAATGTTTCATACTTCTATTAATTATTAAACTTAATCTTCACAGCAAGCCTTGAGATAGGTGCTCTGATCTCTCTCCCCTGTTACTGGTAAGGAGTGAGGCTGATGATGTGACTCCCAGCTCCTCCCTTTCTGCAGAGCTGGCATGTGGCAGGTCCAGCCTACACTTGGGTCATGGAGCTTTCGAGCAGAGAGTGTTAAATGCCTGGATTTCTGTAATAAGTATTGTCCCCAGAATTTGAACACCCCCGAACTTGAACAACTTGGAATCTGAATGAAAAATTCCAGAAAATTTTGCCCTAAATTCCAGTGCTGCTTTGGAATCTGAGCACCCAGCACGTTGTTTGTGTGTTTTTGTGTGTACGTTTTCCCAGTGCTCAGGCCACCTGTGCACCCCATTCAGTTCATCGTGGGAAATTGTAGTGAAAGCATTGTATGTGATTTTCGCTGCTAATTTTATGCTTTTGTGCCTGTTTTGGATGTGTGTGTGTGCGTTATAATAACAACTAAGTGTATTTGCCATGGGTCTTAAAAAGTAAGGCGAGGAAGATTAGAGTAAGAGAAAGCTGGTAGAGCTACAGTTGAAGTTAAGAAAGGTCTTATCACGAAGCAGGAAAGTGGTACACGTGTGGCTGAGCTTGCTGCTCTGTTAGGGTTGCCTGCTTCCACTGTTCGTAAGATTTTGAAAAATAAAGAAGCTTTCAAAGCAGCTGTGGTGCTGGATGAAAGGGATTACGACCTTGACTTCTAGGAGATGGGAAAGTATAGAAGAGATGGAAAAACTCCTCTTAGTTTAGAATAATGAAAAATAACTGGTAGTGTGATTTCTGAGATGAATTTATTTATGAGAATAAATTTATTTATTAATTTATGAGAAAGCTGAGGTCCTCCACAATGATTAGTGAGAGGCCTGCCTGAGACTAGTGCTCTAAAGGAAGTGTATAAAGTTAGTAGGGAGTTTGAGAACTTTAAGAAAAGGACTGGGATCAATAATTTGTAAGCATCAGAAAAGATTATTATTTATTATTTTTTTGTTGTTGTTAAGCAGGCCTGGGCGAGGTTCAATCCACCGCTGCCCCTGGTGTGCAAGGCTGGTGCTTTAAACACTGACCTGTGGCGCTCGGCCCAGCTGAAAAGTATATCAAGGAGTTTAAGGAGTTTGTGAACAGTGAGGGGTATGTTTCCAACCAGGTGTTCACTTGTGACAAAACAGGCTTTATAGTTTTAGGTTTTTATATTTTTTATTAATTTACATTTTTATTCAAATATTATTTGTTAATATTTTACCTTAAAATCCAGTGTATTTACTGTTAAGATTATTTTGCGAATTTGAGTTTGTGGGACCCAGGAAAGAATTAATATAGGTTCTATTATTTTAAAGGAGGAAAAATTGTCTTAGAACTTGAATGATTTGGAACTCGAACGGGGGTCCTGGACTAAGTTTGGATTCCAAGGTATCACTAGACGCTTCCTATATTTTGCTTTGTAAAGATGTGCTTTTAGAGTATGTCTTCTTGTATGAGAGACCAACTGTCTTCACAAAGTGTGGGTGTTGTGAGCGTGGGCAGGGCAGGGCTTCTCTGCTGACTTGTCAAAGTAACATTTAAGCCACTCTGTGTTAATGCTGATAATCCCCTTCGAAGGTTATGTGATTGTTACGACATGTAAGAGCTTAAATTAGATGAAGGAAGATAGGAAACTGAGGTGTCTTTTGTTTTTTTCCCCCAATAAGAAGACTTGATAACAACCCAGATGACCTCTCAGGCAGACTCCAGCATTTCCTCTTCACATAGCTTTGCTATTGAGAATCAGCAGAGGGCGCTGTTGCCATCAGAGTGTCTTTCTAACGTTGAAAAAAGTACAAACGGAACGTCCTCTGCAGTTTTTGAGTAACTCTCTTGTGGTACCATGTGGTATATTTAGTAAATTTCAGCTCTGTCATTGCAGTTGGGGATGACAGCACTTTGCCCCTATTTTTAAAAACACTTTCTC